GCAAACAATAAATTCATAACGTTTAGGCGATAGAGTTTTGCGAATTCTGCATTAAATTTACTACAGTGTATCGACTATAGCTTGTGTATATGCAAAAAATGTGCTGGCCATTATTGGGATAAGTCAAACGGATAAAGCTGGCATTGCGTCGGTGTGTGTAAATGTGTTCGGCCAATGTTTCATAAGAAACGCCATTGGGATAATATCATTTCTGTTAACCCATTGCTTTTTGTCTCTCCCTCTCTGTCCGTCTATATATAAATATATCTATTCGGTCAGTGGGCTCTTAATGGTTGATAATCTGAAATCGTAGTGTTTTTGTTTGGCCAATTGGCTCCATTCAAACATCAACATTTAGGATATTATTGAACGAGTAGAAGTAAACTAGCAAAATAATGAAATAAAAAAAAAAATGTTTTAATAAAAAACCGGTTCCGATTTTGTCATTCTTGTCAACGTAGTTCATTACATTTACGATTTTCATTGGTATAATTATTATTTTGTCGTGCCGAGTGAAAATTGGCTAAGTCAAGAAGAGAAGGAGAAAAAAAGAGTGAATTTCATGCGGAATGGGTTAAACTTGATTTATTTATAATAATATCAGAGCCATACTTCGCCTACATCAAACAGCAAAAATTATAGTCAACAAAGTCCATACATTTTATTCAAAAATGTTAGACATCGACCGTGTGTGAGATGACAAAGATATTGAAAACAAAATACCGAAAAGAATCATTGTAATGAATCTCTGTAAAATAATAATTTTTTTTCTTCAATTCATTGGATTAATGGACAAGCCCGAGTAAAATGTGTCGCACTTAATTCTTGTAAGGAGCTCGCCCATAAAAGTGTTCTAATGTGCACGTGTCAACGACGATAGCATTATTAATTGACAATTTGAACAGTAACAGTTAATTTACGCCAAATCATTTTGAAATAATTCAATGTTAAAGCATTCACCAGGCCAGAGAACTATCCAACAACAAGGTTTAAAAAAAGCAACATGTTCAGAGCTACAAATTACTGACTATTCGGCTCCCCCTCTCGCTCTCTTAAAAGCAATTTCAAAGAAACCAAACCCTATCGAATAGTCAATAAGCGATCACCAAAATCTATAACCGTTCTTTGTGCCTTGCGAGTATGTTGCTCTTAAATCAACTGCTTGGTAGAAAAAGAAAAGAAAACAAATCAAGCCACGTACGAGTAATTGTTTTGTATCGATGCTGGAGTGGAGGGAAAAGCCAAAACACAGCGAACGTAGTCATTAATACATGGAATTTCGACATACGAGCAGAAAATAATCTCAATCGTTTATTCGCGTTGCATATAGTTAGCCCCAAAGTTGTTTAAGAAAAAACAAATTTCTTGGCTTAATCGCGCCTTCATCGCATAGCATGTTCATTCCATTCGATCATTTGCACCACTCAAACGCATAAACACGTCGTTCAGTTACGTTGTGTGCTAAATTATATTTTGAATAACCAAACCAGTGATAGACAAGGAGAGAGAGAGAGAGAGAGAGAGAGAACGAAAAGCGGTATGGTCGCTCCAATAGTGGTATTAACCAATTTGTGCTACCTGCAACAAGAAAAAAATCCGAATTAGAAGTGCGCAATTCGATTGCTTTCATTTTAATAAACAGAAATTGTCCGCAACCAATGCTGTTAGCTTGCAATAAGATGGGTGTTGATAGTTTTTTCCAAATAAAATTGTAGAGATAAGATTCGTCGCTTCAAGAACGAAATTTATTGCCTCTGATTTGAATAACATTAGATTGGCTTACAACATTCAAATCGAATTGTGCTCAAGATTGCAACTCTGGTTTCATATATTATCGAGAAAAAAAAACAGTTGCATTCTAATTGTCTGTGTTCATTGCGATAAAGCAGATATAGATACATACAGTACACACAACAAGAAATTGGAAAATAATCTATGAATAATTCGTGAGACTGAGTAACATCTGAAGCAAACTTCATACTAAGATAACACTGTTATCAGCGAAGATTTTTTGCGATAAAGTTTCCTTGTGAATATCTTATTTGAAATGCGATTATTCGCAGTAGACGATGTTGATTATCTACATACATTAATTTTATCACAAATGTACATTGATGGGAACAGAAAAATTGGGGAAACAATGATTTGCTATTCGAAATTGCTGACAATAAAATATGTAGAAATAATCATTGAAATAAAGCTAAATTCAATTAGCACGGAATTATGCGGCATTTGCGGATCACAATACGCGACAGTAACTTAGAAGTCATTCATGCACGATTGACATTGAATTGAAACTGTTCACCCTGGCCCAGGGGACACATGCAAGAATAGAAAAGTTGTTATAATTTCACAATCGAATGGGCGCGCGCACAGCAAACACCTCTCAATCTAAGTTGAATATTTTTAATAAGCGGATTTAGATATTTGGCAAGCGAACATGGCCATCTGCAACCGTGCCACACTAGCGCTAAGCACTGTGGCATGCGCAACTTTGTGAACATATTCAACATACATAATTGAAATATTCGCTTGCGGCGACAACATTTGATGCGTTTCGCGTTTTATTTTAGGCATTTGTTGTTTTTTTTTTTGCACCAAATTTTCAAATCAAATTAAGAAAGAGCAAAACATACATGAGAAAAAAAAGCACGGTTTCGGTCTCAAATTTAATTCAATTGTGACGGCAATTGGAAATAAGCTAAGAAAAAAAACGCTCATGGTACGCACGCATACAATTTAACTATCTTTTTGGCGGTTGTTGTTGAGATATATTCAAATAATTAAAGGAGCAGTATCGGCAAACCAAAAAGTACACAAACGATTACGTGCAAGACGGCTCAATGCCAAACGTCTTTCGGTTACAGCATTGCCTAACATTTTCAATTAAAACTTCACGCGAAGAACACAAAAGAATTTTTTGTTTTTATTTTTCTCTCTCCACATTTGGTCGTTTCATCCGCTTGTTTAGCTGTACAAATTGTACTCTTTTAGCTTGTTTTCGTCTTATGTGAAGTTCCCAGCTAATCTTGGTGGTCACAAGATTTTATTAATGGGGCCGATGAGACGGCATCATATACAAAAAAAAACCAAAAGCACAAAAAACACGTATTTGTATACGCTCACTTCAAATAAATGAAAAGAAAGTAAAGTGTTTTTGTTGACAAAATCTGGTCGTGCTGACCGTGAATGATGTTTATTTTATGCCATTGTTTACGAAGTGCTGGAATCATACAGCCGATTATCTACTGTTCACAATGGGCTAATGAAAACACTCAGTCGCATTGAATTAATCCGCTAATAATATTTTAATGAAGACGCCTTCTAAAAGAAACTGCAGACTAATCTGCTGAGAATGTGTGGTCATGTATATGTATTATCAATTTGATTTCATATTATGATGGTTCTGCTTCGTTTGGTGTTTCCTTCCATAGTGATTATGATGATATTTCATTCAGATTTTTTTTTTTTTCATTCATTGATAACATACAGTTTTGCGACATAAAAATTCGTTTCCTATTTCGACCTCACTCTTTGACAAAACATATGTTCATTTATATCAACATCTTACTCAAAAAAAGCCTATTTACTGTAACTTTGTAGCTTTTGTGACTAATCTCGCTATGAATATCTCAATATTATTCCAGAATAATTATCTGAACATACCAAATTCAAATGATATTTTGTGTAAAATCGATGTGATCATCGTACGGCACATTTTATGTGCTAATATTTTGATCTTGAATGCAAAATAGACAACAATTCCGCAAAATATAACTGAATTTATGGTGGAATATTAGTCATGGATGTGTCGGCCCCGACCAAAAGTGTGAGATTACATTCACTGTGCATGGACCAATGTAAATGAACATATTTCAGTGATAAATTCGCAATCGTCTGCATTTAATTTGTACTCAGTGAGTGATCATGTAGGACGCTGTATGGGTGCCATTATTGATTTTCTCAATTTCTTTTCCACTCATCGCCCTATATCATATGCCTTTGATTCTCTCTCAATTTTTCTTCAGCATTTTTCTACACAAACCAAATACCCCGAAGAGCTCCGACTCTGCACTTGTCCGTGCACGGTTTAAAAACCGTAATGCAAACAACGGCACACTGCGTGTGAGCTTGTTAAATTTATTAACTTACAAAGTCGTTTTGCCATCTTTCTTGTCTGCTTTTTTTTCACTTTCGTCATTCTCCGACGCTCATGATATGTGTCTGGGCTACTTGTTTTCAATCAACTGTATAAGACGCACGCGTACCCGGAACGACGGAAAAACAAAACGACAAAAACCTAAGTGCAAAATTCAGTGTAACACGTTGAAAACAATTTAAATGGCAATAAAAATGCCAATAACGCTCTCAATCGTACGATGATCGTGAGATGCAAGTGCAATTTACCATCTAGCTGTGACAAATGATTGCGCACGATGATGCGCTACGGTACGGCGGCACGATTTTGAGGATATGAGGCAAAAAATATCATATGTGAAAATGTTGAATTTGATAGATTATATTGCATTTGTCACATAAATTACTTCGATGATTGATTTTAAATGCTTTTTTAACGATGTTAAGAGCAAATCGGCCCGCAAAGCTCTTTCCCTTCTCTCCGCAATGACGAGCATGCATCCTCTGCTTTCTTCTTCTTCTTCTTCTTCTTCTTCTTCTTCATCGCCTGTGCGTGGCATACGACCATTCGACTCTGGTCGAATATGAGTTTGTACAACATTTTGTCGATATCAATTGCGGTGTATAAACACTGCACGTAATGGAATCAGCGAGCAATTTGTCGGGTGATTTGAGATTACATAAAAACGATTGATAAACTTAATTGAATTTAAATTTAATCCCCGATTAAATTTAAGCAAACCATGCATTTTCATCATTTCGATCCAGCCATGCGATGCGATGCAAGGCTGGTGTGGTGATGCTATTAAATAAGTTAATATGATAAGTACTCTAGGTGTTTATGCTTTCAATTTTTTTTACAGAAAATGGTGTCACGCAGAAAGATTCTGTCGCGTTCGCGCGATGACTTGAGTGTCGAGCAGCCGTACGTGCCGGAGGAAGAAGAAGATGTTTGGTATCAAAAAGACAAATTATTCAAAGTAAGTATAAGCACTGTCAATTAGTTCATACTTTAAGAGAGTGGTTAGTTAAGCCGTAATTGATATGTGAGAAACCAAGAGAGGTATATACAAATAGACGTACAATATATAATCACCCGCAACGGCCCATTTTCAATGGAACGAATGAGCAAAATGTAAAAGAAACATATCACATCAGGTTCCCATTGCGATTGCGATTGCATCATCGCACGAATGAAAAAATAAAATAAATATCGAAAAGCATCCAGTTTTTGCCTCTTACCTATCTCAATTGCTTGTCGAGTCTTATCCAATTCATAATAATATGGTTTTGTGCCTTCATTAGGTTCACATACAAAGTTTCTATTACAAAAATGCCGATCAACATACAATAGAATGTAATGAAAATCTCAAATAACACATATAGTTTACACTAAAACGCTTTACGCTCGTTATTCTAACTTCAACATGAGAAGAGAGAGAAATTGTGCAGACGGCAGATTTGAAATCTGATTTCATATCGAAAAATAGTCGAAAATGGACTATGGTCACTCTCTCTTTCTCGTTTTGAATATCATACATTCATGTGAAGGCGGAATTTAACAATGTATACCCAACACAATATGGTGTATCATAGTTTACTATCAACACAGTATTTAATATTGAAGATATCTGCCAGATTGTCTTCGGCTTCGAGTTGAAATCTGAATTTTCAGTTAATTTTTTTTTTCTTGTGTTGACATTTCTGCGATAAAACGTATGGGTGGCTACAACGCCCGTGCAAACAAGATTCTGAATTCGAATGGAATGGTCATGGGCGCGCGTCATGACAGAAATAGGCATTAGCACCCAAGTGCACGTCCGCATCGGAAATATGAATGACAGCACACATTGATACATTTTCAAGCAATTTCATCGATCATTTCAAATTCCTCTGGCCAATGCCCGAATGAAAAATTGATTCTACTCGTTTCAGTTCAGTGCGGCCAACTTTTTTAATTTAATTGCATCATTCAAAACCGCACTTATTCTATAGATTTTCAGTGAACCACTAGACATTTGACAAATCAAAGCAATTTCAAAATGTTGATTTCACAGAAACCGAACGACAAAACACAAATTTCTATCGAATTCGATCAATTGTTTTATAGATCGATATGACACGATTAAAATCAATATTATTGAAACACAACATTTATGTAACGCACAACGACGCTTCAAAGTTTCACATCGGCCGCATTTGCGTTGAATTACTAATCGACTGCGAATGTCTTTCCGGCTATCGAACATTTCTTGATATTCCCAAAACATAAATGATGGATTTTATTTCAATTAGACCATAAACGGCATTCGATACAATGAATGTAAACAGCTCACATACCAAATATAGTCATCGACATGTTGATATAATTGTAGGTTTTCTAACAATTTTTTTTTTCTTCATTGATTTTCAACCATAAGTGTTCACATAATTCGAAGTCAAGTTTATGTTGTTGAAGCCGTGGTTTTCAATGAATTTAATGATAAACTGGCTTTTAAATATCACTCAAAACGAAAAGAAAAAATTTAACATAAATAGAATGCAAAATAAAGACCACGATGCCCGGAAGTTTATGATGATCTGTTATATAATTTGAGGTTTAGTTAATATAAAAATTCCCGTTTGGTGTTAAACAAATTTCAAGTCAGAAATACGGTATGTAATAGTTGCTGGTTGCTGATGGGAAAATATGAGAGTATTATAAAATTGGGTAGACAGGAAGTTGATTTTGTATTGAATGCAAAATTCTGTGCATTCAAATGCTGTGAACAAAAAGAAAAACATGCTTTGACATCGAATGTGCGAAAAAAAACATCGGTTAATTGCTTTATTATCTCGCTTTGTGGTTACACAGTTGAATTGAAAAAAATACCACGGCGTCAAAGTAAAAAAAAATTATCAGCATCAAAATCAAGTTAGAATCTATGTTAAGCGCGCATTTCGGTGGACGGATGCAATTTTAGCTTTGTAAACAAGGCGATTTACATAATATCGATAATTTAGCAATTATGTGCATTTGTTTACTTTAAGTGAATGAAGAGTATCTTACCCATGAAACTGAAATTTTTAAAATTCAAGTTAAGAGCACTCAGCTTAACTCAAGCATAGAGTTTTATTTTTTTCTTCTGCGGCTTCATCTTTCCGCGTTGAAAGGCCAAACGTTGATCTCCGGCGAATGCATTTGATTTCATTATCGTTTCCAATAAAATAGAGACAGAGACAAATGTGCTGAGAACCGTAGTTCAACGGATGCGCAATGTTCAATCATTGTATGTGCATTTGTTTAGATGTTATGGTTGTATTTTTTTGTTTGTATATAATTTCAGGGACTGTGAACAATTAATATGATGTTCAGCATATTGAATACAAGAAGAAATATAGCATCTGTGGCTATCGATGCGTCAAGGTTGTTATTATAGCTTCTGCCGCGCTTTATACAATTTTTTTTTTTATTTGTTCGTTTGTTCTGTGTTGCAGTCACTTCGGTAGTGAGGGGTCTTCATTTGATCTCTCTTACGATGTTTGTTAGAATATTTTTTGCTTTTCTTTGACAATGGTTTTCATTTCAAATACTACGTGTAGATATAGCAATGTTACGGTACTACAATGCAGAAGAATGCAATTATAGTTCATATCGTTTACATTTAGTTTTAAATGCAGTTTTATCACGATCGGCGCATCTGTAGCCCAAGCGAGCCAATTCTCAATTATTATCATACTACTGTTGCAATCAAAAGAATCAGTTCACGTTTCACTTTTGATAACCGTGGCTTGACTTGGCGGTCGCATTTTGTACAGTAAGAATAAATTAGTTCACGAGAGAGACAGATGAGTTCAACGTAGATTGTTAATTAATATTTTAATTAACTCGTATGAAACGAAGGAAACAACAAGAGACGTTCACACAAAACAGACATGAATGTTGAATATTTTGTAGATTTCCTCATCGCAATTTGTTTACTTATCAAAAATATGTATATATGTATTTGGATACTTGTGCATTTATAATTCAGTTCCTCGACAATTGTAACATAGGTACATCCAATTTCATTCAATCCTTGGAACTTTTCAAACATTGTTTACGTGGGAATGATTTGTCTGATAAATAAATATCTTTTGTTTTGTTTCTGTTATCTGGTGAATTTCATAATTCATAACATTCAGATACATACATATATACCTTTGACTTTGTTGGTTTCCCCATCGATGATATATCGTTGCATGTCGAAGAAGACAATTCGTTGCCCAACGATATATATATATATACACACTCCAACGAGTAAAACGCTCTATTTTGTATTTCGACGGCCTTTTTCTGCTCTTTTGCCTGCAACGAAGCACCAAACTTTCGATTTTTAACGTTGCCTTGTGCATGTCAACAATCGAATGGATGTGGAAACGAGATCATCATTAATAAAACGAAGAAGTAAAAAAAATGTATGTTGACGTGTGGCATGTGCGTAAAACGATGCCACTTAACGGGCCCGCATAAAATGGCGAAAATTCACCTCATCATTATTTCAGATATTTGTTTTAATTATTATAAGCGAGGAAATTGTTCACCATTTTTTTCTTGTTTCAATGTATTGTTTAATTTTCATCTACGTTCATCACTCGTTCAATTGTATATTCGCTACTGTTTACCGTTGTTAAAATGCCTTCATGCACAAAAAAATATTGGTTTGTGTACATTTTCCCCCCATTGAACCAACAGACAATCAAATTGAAATGCATATTAATTCGCAAGTATTTACATAAAATTCGAAATATTTTGGTACACTTTTTTTTTAAATTGTATTTTCGATCACGAATCCGTTTCATTCCGTCTGCTTCCATAAAAATGTCTGCAAATGTAGTGAACTGTTTTCGAAGACACTTATCGGAAGCGAGTTGTTGATTGCAAAGTCTATAATATTTTTTTTCAGTTGACAAGATAGACGAGGCGATGTATCGCCATACGTTCCAATCCAAAAACAAAAATTATAAATGCCGAATTTTTTCAAGTATTAGTTCGACGCCGCCACAGTGATCATAAATTTAGAAATCATAGACATAAAAGCATCAAGAAATCATATTTTCAATTTTCTCCTCATCAATATTTATGTACTTTTTCGCTTCCACAATCGCTGATTTTATACATTTAATATTCGGTTTACCAGATATTTACTTCGGTGGTTATTTTTGAAATATTTGATGATTTTCAATCAAATCATGAAAAATTTGAAATATTAATTGCCTATCCAATTTGCATTCGCTATTTAGTTAATTATTTTTTGGAAGCGACCAGTAAGACTACGATTTATTCCTCGATCATTCAACATAGTTTGATCGAATACGCCTGCCTCGATCATCTTCAAATCATCGTCAATCGAATGAAAAATAGAAAACCACCCGTAACATGTCACTGTGTAAAAAATTAGCCATTAGCTCATTACGTTCAACATGTCGAATGCTAAAATATAGCAAATTAGTTGAATCGAAGAGTGAAATAAGATGACAGATGGTTCAGGTTGAAGATATTGCCTTTTGACAAATTAGTATATGTTTTGGTTTATGTAATGAATTAAGTGAGACAAACATCGTTATGATCATCGCTGGACTCAACAAATGGAGTGTGAAGTGAATGTATGTTACTTCACATCACATCACATCATATGCTTTTTTCAAGCCTGCCACTTGTCCAATACGAGATTTTCATCATTTTTTTCGTTGAATCATTGTAAAATTAGCAAAAGGATTTGTTTTTGTCATATTTCAATGTGAAAATCAAAATAACCTATTTAAGGCCACGAACACTCTCTTGAACTGGAACGTTCAAAAATTGGAAAACATACACAAAAAAAAACATTCCAGACGAAGAGAAAGAGAAGCGAAAACATCGGATTGATTAACATCGACATCAAGTGGATCTTGAAATCTTAATTTCTTGTAACCATATTGTCAGTCATCTCGGATCAGATGGTGATTATTTGAGTGCGAATAATAATTGGCACCAGTGATACAAAGCGTCTGCAAAACTCAATAATTACGTGAAGAGAGTAATAAAATTGCTGGAACAAAGTCAAGGCAACAAATGCCAACGAGTCATAATGCATATATATGTTTAATGGCAACAAAAATGATTTCATTTCATGAACTTTTGCGACAAATTGGATTCCCATTAAAGAGGCTGTTAAGATCAAAAGAATTTACAGCCAAAGTGTATTGCATTAAAACACAAATGATTGCAGTTTATTGGCGTATTGTTTTGGTGTCGATTATGAACGGAAATTTACCACAAAGGCGCCAAGAATATCGATTGGCATGTTTTGACTTCACACTGTTGCTACGGCGCGTCCTCGCGTTCTCGAATTACAGGCCGGGTTTTCAAGTTCAATCAACGTATTAAATTTGTACAAACTCGCAATCGATGATCGCAATCACATGAAATAAATTGAGGGGCAATTTGAGCTGCGGTAATAATAAGATTATGATATATCAATTATTCAGTAGAAATCATTCGGTAATTTTAATCCGAATGCATTTAGCACCTACATTACAGCCATAAAAATCAGAACATTGTTCTCTTAAAATTTCGCTTCCAACGGAGATAACTCCATAATGACATTTAGCCAACGTAATACGGAATATAAATTTTTACCCATCTCAAAATACACATAAAATTTTTATTTGTGCTATTGTTACTGGCGGAATGTTGTTTTTTTTCTTTAATCTCATATCTGTTGGTCATGTAATGAACCAACGCATATTAGAGTCGAGAACAAACGCATAGCTTGATTTTATTCCTACGAAAGATGGATAGTATCGCGCGATGAACTCATGTCAAGCTGCGCGCAAGTCCGCTTTTGTAACGGATTATTGTCTTTTGGTTAATCGCACAATAATCCATCTTTGTTCTCTCGTCTGATTGACATAATTATTCATTGCTTCTGTTGGAACTGATGTCAAAAACATGTAACCATCAACAAATAACAGCCAAAATAGACGATCTCAAATCGCAAATCATTAAAACATGTTTTCATTTCATTACGCTTGATTTTTTCCATACGTACTATAGAAACTCTTCTGCAATCGTTATTGAATGTTCAAGAACATTTGACCGTTTTCCTGCACCATCGTCTAGAGGTGTAAATGAGTACGGTGAAACCGAAACGAAAAAAAAAAATTGTCCGAATTTCATTCCATTCAAATCCATTGGAGTATGAACAAACAAATTCGGGTGAACGGGCAAATTTGTGTCTGTTGACACCTCTGCCATCGTTATAACAGGATTACCTTTTATTAAAAATAAAATGTTGACATCGTTGTGACCGTGATCTTTAAAATGATAATATTCAAATTCGATTCGAACAACAAAAACAAAAAAGAGAGCCACAGTGATGGGCAATAATAGTTTTCGAATGAGAAGAACAAACGAATGCGTGAATCTATTGTAAATCGTACGGTTTCTTCGCTGCTCGAGAAGCCTCTCTAAATACCAAGTACATAATAACAAAGTTCCGATAATTTATTATGGCTTAATGCCGATTAATAAATGTAAATAACACATATAGGCCGACAGAAAATGGTGCGAGAGACGTACAATACCTAAACCATTCAATGTATGGTTAATAAACTCGATGCTCTTTGCGTGGCAAAGTGAACACGCAATTGTTGCGCCATTCATTGCAAATAATCATCCATATTCATTTATTTATTTGGTGCAAATATCATGACTCGAACAAAGAATAATAATAAAAGACTTTTCTTTTTATCTCACACCTCACACAAGTTTCAATTACACTTCATGCGATATATGAATGGTTTGTGAGCAAAAATGTAATACAGAAAAGTTGAGCGGAAAAATGTCAAATGAAAAGGGATAGCTATATAGTAAACTGTATAGTGAACTATATAGCTATCTCTTTTCCGCTCATTCATCATAGACATTTTTCCGCTCAACTTTTCTGTATTACATTTTCGCTCCAAACCATTCATATGTGCGATGCATTAAATTATATTACTATTGCAATGGCGATTACATATTATTCATTATGGTTATTGATTATGTTTCGTTATGTTTTGGCGTGTGTTTAGTTTCTTTGTTCCAGTTGTTCATTTCTCATTTGTTCACTCATCACGTGAAATCTGTATGATGCCATTGATTATTCACTATTTGCTTTTCTTTTCTGTTCAGGAACACATTCAAGAAGTGCTTGACAAATGGGATCAAATTGACGATGAGATTTGGGCCAAACTGATCGTATTCGAAGGTAATCGGCGTGTAGCCAAAGCTTATGCACGCGCTCCAATCCTAACGATAAATAACTCCGATGATGGATTCGATGGAATGAGGTGAGTGTCTTTAATTTATTTTTTCTTTTGATATGTTTGAATATTTTCGATTTTACTAACGATCGAAAGGATTAACGTTGCAAAAAAAAGATGATTGATTTTAAGCATAGCAAAAATATGATTGATTTTTTATGAATGAAGAAAATTCAGTTTGATTTTCCAAACAGCAATAAGGCTTTTGAAATTGGCTTGCGAATCCGTTCGCATCGTATTTTAATTGATAGTCGATTAACCTAAATTAGGTTTTAAGTAATCATAGTTGTTCTTTTTTTTCTACATTTTTCACGAATCGTATTGAGACCATCAGATTGCATTCGCTTTATATACAGCATATACACATAGATCAATCACACTTTACATAAACAAAAAGCTAGAAAGTGCACATTTCAAAAGTGTCAAAAATGAACTGAATCAAGATGTGCAGAAAAACAACGACTGTTTAACTAAATACGAACTCGGGTAATTAACTCAGAAAGAGAGATCTTCCGCGCAGCACAGCTCGAGCTGCAAAGTTTACAGTGTAAACTTAGACATTTTATGCCAATGTTACGATTGTTGTACTTACGCAACCAAAAAGAATGAACCAATTTTTCAATCAGCATTAAACGCAACAATGCGTGACCTTTTCTTTTGTTTCTTTTTTCTTTTAAATATGCCGTGTCCAAGCTGGTTTTTTTCTTCTTCTTTTCGAATGCCGCTGGTTCTGTTTAAGCACTCGTGTTCCTATTCCGAACATATATTTGAATCATTGGGTGGTAAACAGTTTAAGATTAAAAATTTAAATACCGAGAGAGCATCACTGACCACAGACTGTCTTGACATCGTCGTAGGTTAGGGTAGCATTTGGAAATAATTAAAATTTCAGTGTAATTCACAAGTGTGAAGTTGCTTAAATAGACTATCAACCAAATTGACCCGAAACCAAATTGGGCAAGCCCAGTGAGCAACATCATCAATATGTGTACTAAGGTATGATAGCCCAGAAAAGAGCAAACCACCGAAAAAATATACCATCTCGTCTTATCAAACCACAACTATTTGTGGACTGTTTGAGTTAAAGTAGCGGAATAGGTGGTGCAGAGCAAGTGTTTTTAACAAACTCATGCTGCAAAGTTTATGTTTCGAATTGCCCATCAGGCAAACAAAGTTGCCACATATCTAAAGAGTCGATTGACCTAGGTCGATACATTTTTTCAACTACATACTTGGATTTTATTTACAAGCTCAAATAACACACATAAACACATTACTTTTTATTTTATTGAAGTGAAGTGCAGACTTGAGACCAGAGTTCAATAGGTTGATGAAGCTTTTTGAAGATGCTGCGTATTTGTACAATGTGAATTAAATTTGTCCGAGTCATTTGTTGAATCCGTTGCTGTTTTTTCGACTTCTGGAAAGTCGACGCCCGGACTATAATTGTTTTACAAATCCATACGATCTTTTAAATTAATTTTGAATAGAAGTCTGCCATGGAAATAGCTTTGTTTTGTTTAAAACTGGTCGTTGGCTATTGACATTTTGAATAAATAATTGGTATCAGCGTGATGATTTCGATACTTTGGTGCACCACCAACCTTTACATTTCGGAATGTTTGCTTTTAACATACGATTGATCTTGGATATTCAGGAAATAAAACGATACTTGCGAATACCAGTTCAGATGTGTTGACATACTGTATTTTAACTGTCGCGACTACAAGAATGGTATTTTTTTTCCTATCCCAATAGGGATTTATAATGACGTCAAAATAAAATTAGCTCATACGCAATTTATGACCGGTCTTTTTTCTACATTGCTTTGACTGATTTAGATTCAATTGATTTGATGTAGCAGTTGGTGGTACTTGAATAATCCATATGTAAATTTTCGACATTCATTTCGCTGTCATTCGACTGGATTCGTGAGCATTTGATTTGATTTGATTTTCTAGTGTTTTTAGGTTCGAAAAAAAAGATCGAAACCGACTAACAATAGGTACTGTTACATTCTATTGAAAGTACAAAAAAAAACTACAAATCATTCATTACCAAGAATACAGAACTCATTGTCAATTGCGGACTGCGGTTTGAGCTTGGGCTTTGTACAATGGCAACAAAAAAAGCATGAAATTATTGAAGTTAACCATTTAACGATTTGCATACATTCATTTTTATTCGGATATCAAACAAAATTATCTCCATTTGCTGACATATCGTTATGTTTAATTAGGTATACGATTTCAAACGGCTGAGATCGGTTCAAATTGAACGCAAATTATATCACAACATTCTAAAATGTCTTGAATATCCGAAAAAAAAAACATTTCACAGAAGCCCGATCAAGCCCTTGGAAACCGGATAGCAAAACGTTGGAACCAGTTACGCGGCATTTTTCACCAGTCTTGTTTATGTTACTGAACTGTTCCCATAGAACTGCGAATAGAATGAAGCTAGTTTCGTGTTTTGCTGCCGATTGAAACGTTATAATATAAATAACGTTCGGTTGACCGGTTGAAAAAAAGTGTGTTTATGTGTATAAACAACTGCATTCGCTAGACTCGTCATAATCCAACGCGTCGAACATCTGCAATTCAAGTTTTGGGATGCGTTTTTTCTCCTTACTCTTTGGTTGCTATCGCATGCTTTGCAGCTGATCACGTATTCATCGTCTGGTAGTAAATCTAACTGTCAGACTGTGTCAGTTAGGCCTTGCCACCGTTCCGCACACATGGATAAAAAAAGGTAGCATCAATGGCATGCTGGAATATACGTGTATAAAATATACATATTATTATCATGGTCGATCGCGTAACAATAGATTTGCAGTGTACATAATAGGCACATCGTAAAAGCTGATATAATTGCAGTTGACAAGACGAACGGGGCTTTCTTGAGGCTCCACAGATATGCAATAGTTGCTCATGTTGATTTCTGAATGAAATGAGCATATGATTGCTTCGTTTTGCTATCCACTTTTATAGTGCTTCATGCTCGCCATTTGAGCCTCCATTTGTTTGCACATGCATCGGCCTTTTGTTACATCGAATCGTCATTTCTAGTTTCGCTTTTTCTTAATGGGCATTGATATCATTCTAGATGTTATGCTCCAGTTCCTGTATTCATTGACGGTGCATTTTTTTCTTCTGATTTACTTGATTGTTGTTAACTGTCTGTGCTATTTTCCAGGATTCTCATTACAATACTTAGCTGAGCTAACGAACTGAGAATCGACGTACGGCTCTCTGTTCGTTCGTTGGATATTTTTCATTTTTATTTGTCCACTCAAAATTGTGACTGGAAGTGATTCTTATCGAGTAGTTGCATGTCCAGTATAGCTGTTCATACGATAATTTGACTTTTTCAGAAAACTTATTTTTTAACAAAATTCCATTTTGAAAATCTAGGGTTTTTGAATTTGAATTCGTTCAGTTTTTCATGACGAATGATGTGCTGCTTTCACTTTAAAGATTCCATAAAGCGTTTTGAAAGAATTGAGTAAAATCGCTCGTTATTAAGATTCAATCTTAATAACATATTATTAAGATAATTTTGTTAATAACGAGCGTTGACTAATCAATTCTTTCGAAAAGCTTTATGGAATCTTTAAAGCGAAAGTAGCACATCATTCGTCATGAAAAACTGAACGAATTCAAATTCTAAAACCCTAGAATTTCAAAATGGAATTTTGATAAAAAATAAGTTTTCTGAAAAAGTCAAATTATCGTAGGAACAGCTATAATGTCCAGGTGTTATGAAAGTTGCTTTATTGTTTGGTGCTGCATCTCAATAGATTAAGGATAGTCTCCAAATAATAATAATCTAACAGCACCAATTCCAGGGTGGCCAGCGACATGCACTTCCCATCTGATTTGATCTCAACGCTCTTTATTTAATACAACAACAGTTTTTCATGCAATTAAGACATTTTCAGCTTGTCGTCTTGTTTCTCTCTTCTTTGCCATATTCCAGATTTAACACAGTTGTTGATCGAATCCAATAATAAGTTGTTGTTGTTGTTGTTGAGACTTAAACGCTATATAGCCAAAGAGAATACTAGTATTCTTACCAGAATACGAAATGGCAATAATCACAATAATCGCATAAAAAGTGAAACGGAAAAATACGCAGACGATGACCGGCTTTCGAATCATTCATTTTCGTTTTCATTTTGCTGATTCAAATAACTGACTGAGCAATCGTCTGGTTGTCAAGGAATTTTACGTCTGATGGGCATTTTGGCATCATAAAAAAATAGTCCGTTCACTCGACTAGCCAAACTGTGCATCAAGTCCTTTCGAATTCCTTCTCTCGTGAGCAATCAACCATTCAGAGTGTGAAATTCGAATTAAATATGTGTGGCCATTTACACTTGCAATTTACCGCCTTTCATCGGCAAAACCACACGAACATCAAAAACAATCGCTAAATGTTATTTCCTTTCAATATTTACACATTTCCAAGACGTATTCTGATTCATGTGGTTCATCTCATTTGCCCTGATTATTTCGTCTCGACGGTGTTTGCACTTTAATCATTCAGAACTAACATGACAAGCATTTAAAATCGATTCGTTTCCATACACATGCAAAATACAAATTACACCAAGTGTGTGAGAAGCGAAATGTTGATTCGCCCGCTCAGATTTCGAATTTTGCAATTCCTTATTCCAAACCAACATTTTGTCCCTTTTTTTTGCTCGCCGCATAATTGCGAAAGAAATAAGCAATGCCTTTTAGGGATACATACTTAATTTTTTGTTTTTTCATTTTTGAAAAATGATATGAGTTTTAGGTCTACTTCCTATCTGCTTCATTACCGTCTCATACCGTCTTTATCGTCTATAAATGATTATCGAAAATAACAAATATAAATGACATGCTAAGAATAAATGGGCGATACGCATTTTTTCATCGTTAAAAGAAGCATTGGTTGCCAATGAAGTGACAACTTTTAGTTCAAGCGGAATTCATAATCTTCAATTAAAAGAAATACAATTTTTTTGGTATAGAAAACGGTGAATAGGTTGATGAAAAAGTTTATGTTGAATTTTGTGTCATAGTATTGTGATTTCCAGTTTTAATCCCAGAGTGTTAAATGTGCGTATTTTCATCGACACCTTTATGCATGGATGCGATCGATCGGTCGGTGCACTTTTGGTGCTGTCAATCAAACCCATGATGAAAATAATTAAACTGGCATCGACCAAGCGAACAATTGCTATACATCGCATACACAAACCAGTATTTCCATAATCGGACAGCAATCAACAACTGCTTCATCATTATGGGTGTCTTAGTTTTCGGTCCAATATTTTCATATGGTGCGGTTAGTGGTTGTGTATATGTAATAGGTTTGTTTGCATTTAAAACGCCTTTGATGGGTTTTTCTGTACGAAAAAAAAAAGATAACAACAATTAGTGTGTGTGTGTGTGTGTGTGGAAAACCGTACACATCGATTTGATTGCTATCAAAAGATGACGAAACATAACATTTATCAAGGTCATCCAGTGTATATGGTTATTTTTGGATTTCCTCTTACAATTTCATTCGTTTTCATGCATTTACTTTCTGTCAATCTGTTATCTCATTGGTTGTATTTCATTTTGACTCTGTGTGAATGAATATACATCGTGGTATCGTTCCAAACCGATACACAATTTTTCCGCAAACAGTTCAAACATTGTAACATGCCACCTTAGATCTTGCCGCCGACAATATTCAGAGAGCACGTGAACACGCATTAAAAACCCCATGAAAATTTCCGAAAAAATTAATCGCATGTGTCATTCCAATTGGAGTCTTGTTAACAAGACTCAATCGAACACTTTCAATGAAAAATGAATTGCTGCGAGCAATACAAAATTCGGAAGAATTTTCACAAACTAATTTTCAATTGGTTCAATTGAAATGCTGCCACCCAAGTGATTCCTATAAGTTTTTTTTTATTTTTCGTTCAAGATTCCGTTTCATTGACAAGCGTTAGTTAAATTAGAAAACAAAGTGCCGTTTCATGTGAAGTCACGTACGCATTCATACAGTGCTAAGAATGCCAATTAAAATCGATACCATTCAAATACGAACACGAACATGAATGCAAATACGAATACGAATATCAATGGAAATCTAAGCGGTAGACAATAGGTCAAATTGCAATGTAAAAACTGACAAAAGCCTGATATTTTATGCATTGCAGACATTTCAAACGGTTTTTTCCAAATGGACTGTTCGCTTTTCTATTTCATATCAATTAATTTGTGGTTAACTTTCGAATTGTTTAGTTGACTAAATGAGAATTCTTATGCCTTAATTTCAATGATCCAAATAAAGTAAATTATATTATTTCGGATATGGGTCACATTAACTTTGAGAGAAAAAAAATCAACAAAAACTTATCAGTTTGTACTGGAACTTCATGTATAACACCGTGTGACAAAATAAAAGTTGTTGTTTTGCACATTGGGGTTTTGAATGCACGATTTTAGAGGACCTCAAACAAACATTTCTGCATCATTACTTTTTCCGGATGACGTGTTAATAAGAAAGTTATCGATTTTGGTAGGTCTAAGGTAGCGCCTATCAACATATCACAGTGAAATTTGGTTTAGAGCTCTAAAATTATGATAGAAACCTACATTACTTGAAAGGTGAGACCTTCCCATAAATTTTGGTACCCTATTTATCA